GAAATAAAATAAGAAAAATAAATAAACTGATTATTTCAATCAAAAAGGGCTTTTCCTCCCTACCAGATTTGACAGGCAAGGATCCTGGGCTGCCTGTGTTTTGTTTTTTAACTCTCTTTGCCATGTAGCATGTGGCCTGCTTTCTTTTTGCCAGCCCTGTTGGCTCTGTAAGCACCTATGTGTGTGGTGGGTTCACTTGTTGCTTGTGGCACAGTGAGGTCCAGATTACACAGAGGGATTGTGAGATGCCGCTGGGATGATGGTTCTGCAGTGCAGCAGAGCGTTGGCTTTGATCAGAGGTTTTCAACCACAGTTCCGTAAAACCCAGGAGTTCTTCAAAGTTTTACGGCTTCCCCCTTCAGGTTCTTCACTTGCACCAGGCAGCCACCCCACTCCTGGAGTGGCCGAGTCCACAAGTAATGTATATGGGCCAGTCTAGTCTCATGACCCACCTTAAAATCTTCAGTGCCAAATGTTCAAATCATTGTATTTGTGAGTGGTGTAACAAAACAGGTAAAGTATGTATTTTGATTTCTTTATTCAATTTCACATTATCTTGACTAATATTCCAAGTAGAATTATGTCTTAGAATTTTGTAATTGTTAAATAATTTACTGCCAGGTTTTACTTTGTTTTAAATTTGTAGCTGAAGAAAGGAGAAGGAATATGACATTACAGGGATTCCTCAGTCCCCAATAAGGTTGAAAATGCCTGGCCCAGATAGAGCTGGAAAGGTTTGAGATGCACAAAACAGAATAAATATAACATGTGGAATGTAGCAGATTTAAAAATAGCACTTGGGAGACTGTTGCTTTCTCACCTTATGTTTTAAACTAGATCTTGCTGCTACATTTAATTCACTTCCAGTTTCAAACTATCAAAGCATCTTTCACACTTTCTGGGAATATTTAAAAAACAGAAAAATGAACAGCAATCATGAAATTCTCAGGGGGGATTATTGGTGTATAATTAAGTAATAACCATAGTAACAAGCAAATCTGTATTAACCTGACCTACTTTGAGAAATTCCATCAGCTTGTTGGGGGCAATGTCATATTATCTTTCAAACTCTCCCCAACTCTGGAAGTACAAGAAGGGCAGGGCAATTAATCCTTTGCAGAAAAGACGATAAGGAACAAGGAAACCCCTATGCCATACAGTCAGAATACATAGCCAGTTTATATATTTTATTACCAATTTACTTTGTCACACCATCACAAGTTCCACAAAAGAACTAGATTAACCCTTTCTAACAGGTTTTTTTCCTGCTAATGTATTCCCCCCTCCAAACAAACCCCACTTTCAATCTAGAATGAAATCAAGATGAACCCAAGACTTTGGGCTGCTTCTCTGTTTCTCAGTCTCTCTCTCTCTCTCTCTCAATCTCAATGTTGCTTTCATGTAGAAAATGGCATGAATCCCACATGTAAGACTGTTACATGCAAAGTATGTAAACATTCCTAGGGGCCAAGCTAAATTGCAGTAGCTATCATGTTTTTCCCCCCCAGCAAAATCTTTCCATGGCATTCCCTTCTCTCTACACATATAACGGGAAAGCATTAAGATGGAGATGCTCTATGTGACCAAAGCTTGGAGAATGTGTCCTCGCTTCCCAAGTCAGCATACTGAATAGAAATAATTTTCATAGTTACAGCTTTTTGATACGGTTATATTCCACTGAGAAAGGGGAAAGAGAGAGTGCACACACATGGCTTCCTTATAGACCCGATCAATTTATTTTTGCTACAGCTAAAATATCACCAGAAATATTAAGTGGCAAGTTGCTGATGCGCTGAACATAAACTTGGCTGTCTGTTAATAAGATTTCCATTAAATTTGCCTTCCCCTTAAGTTTTTCCAAAAATACACCTTTCTTTAAAAAATTACCAAAAGTATCAATTGCATTTTGTTGGAGTTAAAAAAACAAGGAGAAACAGGCCCTGACCTGGATAGCCCAAGCAAGCCCAATCTTGTCGGATCTTGGAAGCTAAGTAGGGCTGACTCTGGCAAATACCTGGAAGGGCGACCTCCAAGGAATACCAGAGGCAGGTCACAGAGGGAAGGCTAATCAAGCTACCTCTCTGAAAAACATCCAAGCCCCCAGTAGGGGCTGCCAGAAGTAAACCTTGACTTCCAGGCAAGCACACAAACACACACAAAACTAGGAAAAACAATATTACATCTCCTGAATATCTTGCCCTTCACCACTGTAAGAACAAATTCTGCCGGTGCAGCCCAGGGTACATCAAACAGGTGAAATTCCTTTCTTGGCCATACAGTTTATTTATTTATTTATTTATTCGGCTTTTATCCCACCTTTCCGCCGAAGCGGCTCAGGGCGGCTCACAGCATTAATAAAACCAATATACATAAAACGATCAATCCATAAAATAACTTGACATAAATACAATAAATATGAATAAAAGCAGCTCGGTATATCATTACAAGTAAACATTGACCCCCAATGTTATCTACCTATACAGAGTACATGCCTTGGTGGGTCGGCAAGGCTTGGCTGGCATACCATCACTCTCACTGATATGCCCAGCGGAAAAGCTTCGTCTTCACAGCCCTGCGAAATTGCTGGAGATCTTGCAGGGACTGGATCTCACTAGAGAAAATGCTCTAGACCTAGTTGTTGTCAGCCTGGCCTCTTTAGGGCCAGGAAGGGTCAAGCGGTATTGCGTCCCAGATCTCAGTGCTCTCTGGGAAACATACGGGGAAAGGCAGTCCCTGCTAGGTAGCATTAATTCATTCAGCCTCTGCTCCCCTCCATAAAATAGGAATACACAGGGACTTCACTCACTGTAAAGCCAACCTGACAAATGCTTGTAAGAACCCCTTTGCACATTAACACTCCAGTGCTACTCAGAAGCAAGTCCCATTCATTTCACTGTGTTTACATTGTCTAAGCAAACTAAAGTCAGAATTACAGCCTAAAAGTACAAATTAGATTACTCATCTCCCTTATATATAAAAGCCGAATGGTGGTGGCACTTCTCTAGAACATTCCACACGCTCCAGAATTGGTTGGTGCCCTGGTGTGTCACTCAAAATCTGTCCCTATCCACTGGCTGCATTGCTTGAGTCTCACCTCCAACATTCTAAACAGTTTGCTCTTCCTCTCCCCCCCATAGACAGTCAGAACACAGAGGTTATTTGCATATGCAGCCTCATTGGCCTTTGCCTCGGAACACAGAGGTCATTTGCATATGTGACTTGATTGGCTTTTGCCTCTAACATTCTAAACAGTTTGCTGTTCTGAGGTAAAATGTGTCCAATCTCCAGGTGAGGGCTGGAGATCACTCAGAATTACAACTGCTTTCCAGATGGCAGACATCAGTTCCCCTGGAGAAAATGGTGGGCTCTGTATCCTTATATGCTGCTGAGGTGGCCCCCGTATGACAGCCAATGTTACGTAGCAGTCAGGGCTTCAGAGCACGGGAGAGGCTGCAGGTGTGTAGGGGGTGGAAAACTGAAGAGTGAGGGGGAAATAAAGGTAGGTTGATGATTGGCTGGGAAGGAGATAGGGTTGCCAACTCCAGGTGGGAAATTCCTGGAGATGTGAGGGATGGAGCCTAGAGAGGGTGAGGTTTCAGGAGGCATGGGACCTCAGACAGGTACAAAGCCACCCTCCAAACCAACCATTCCCTTCTGGGGAACCATCATTGCCAATCTCCAGGTGAGGACTGGAGATCACTCAAAATTACAACTGTTCTTTAGGTAGCAGAGATCAGTTCCTCTGGAGAAAATGGTGGACTCAGTGTCATTATACCCTGCTGAGGTCGCCACAGCAAATTGACAATGAGTGTCCAAGGCCGGGACACCTGCCCAGAGCCTCTTTCTAGAGCTCGTTGTATTTATTTCCACAACAAGCCTTTTTCCTAGTATAAGGATAATGAGATAGGCCCAACTATGAGAAAACCATCAATCTGATACTTAGGAAATTTTGTCAATCAAGGATTTTAGAGTGTGTGTGGTGACTACATGTATACATTTATATTTCACCTTTTCTTCAATTTTCAGAGACCCAGAATGGGCTACAAAACAGGTCCAGTGCATTACTGGGATTTATTTATTTTTTGCCTACACTGATCCTTACTGTCTCCTATTAAATACCACACAGTCTGTACCCCACTCTTGATTACCCTATCTGTAATAGTGGCAGGCAAAAAAAAATAGGCAGAGCAGATGTGCTGTATACTTCACAAGCACTGGCTATGCTCAAAAAATCCACCAAGTTTTTAAGGAGGGGAACCTCACACCTTCCCTATCAATGAGCAGTTTCCACTGTGACACAATTATATCCGGAATACATGAAAAGGTGAAAATTTCTGGAAAGAAAAATTAAAAGCAACCTTTCTTCTCAGGGCTCTGCAACGATACAGTCATGGTATCACTATACACCAGACAATCCAGTATGGAAAGCCTCTGAGCCTGATTCCCATAACTGATCCTGGACATCAACATACTTTGGATATTCCCCTACAGTCTGGATAGCCAGGCTATGTTAGGGCTCTTTTTTAAAAAAACAAAACCTAAAAGTAGATTTGAGCTTATTTAAAGAATTAAAATGCAAACAGTAAAAAGCGTTCCACTTACACAAGAGAAAAAAACATGGTCTTCAATATATTTTTAAAAATCCAAAATGCATTTCACTTGACACTTCACACAATATCTTCCAAACAGAAGAGTACATTTTCCCTTAGTCTTAGAAGTTAATTTTATGAAGAAAATCAGCATTCTAAACCAATAAAGAAATCTGTTTCGAGTTCTGCCTGAAGGCAGCTGCATCAGCACAAAGGTATTTCACACTAAACATACATGGGTTGCTCTGGCAGCCTTCTGCTAAATATCCTCTATAATACCAGGGACCTCAAAGGTCTGAAAAGTCCTCCCCTCCCACCCCTTTTGTAAAGTTCCTCTCAAGCCTACAAAACTGTCAGCTAAGGATGGTTCTCTTTTCCCTATGATGACACACACCCCCAAGCCCTCCTCACCTGCTCCGAAGAAGCTGAGCACTGCTGGGGCTAATTCCTGTGCAACAGAGAAAAGCACTTGCAGTGAATGCAGCAGTTCAGGCAGTGACTTTAGGTGAAGGACAAAATACCAGGCCACCTGTTTGCGATGCTTTCCAGTCCCATACTGCTTACGCTCTGTGTGTGTGTGTGTGTGTCCCTTTGGGCCTTCCACAGGGAGTCACAGCCAGGTCTGTTCCTTGGATCACAGGGGAATGGAACACCCCCACACTTCCGCAAAAAAAAAAAAGAGTCATTTGAAGTTTTCTTAAGGTGGAACTTAAAACATAAGCATTCATCATTAGCCACTTCCCAAATCTCTTTCATCAAAACCTTTTCCTTATCAGATAAAGGGATTTCTCCAATATGGTCAGGAATCAACTATGTGTTATACCTTCAAATTGTCCCTTCCCACACTTCATAATCAAGTAAAAAAAAAACAGAGCCCTTGGATTTTTGTACTTTTAAAGCACATTGCAGTCATTTCAGTTTATCCTCCACAGAGTCCATTTATTTTTATTTTTATTTAAAAGCTTCAGAATTTTAGACCTTATAAAATCCCCCACCACCACAAGATTCAGATCTTTGGTGGGTATCTCCTCCAATTGGTGTGTGTGAGTGTATGTGGACCTTAGCTACACCAATGCTTTCTTTTGTCCACTTTTTACACCTTTCTGATCCAATTTATGCAGTCACATTTTCCTGAAGCTGTGAGTGAGTACAAAGTACAAGTTACCGTTCAGATGCCTTACAAAAGCACAGCCAATAATTACGCAACACAGCAACAAAAATTGGAGGATGTAGACAATGCATTTGCAGAGCTCATGGCTGTCAGAATCACACAAACACAGGGTGCTGTATGGAGCTCCATTCCACCATTGTGAGGATTTAGATGAGTCACACCAGCAGGCAACTCTGAGCCAACCCTATAGTGCCACAGGAGACCAGTTGACTTGTAATCTACCATAACAGCTAATTACAGAATGGGGGCAAGCTTTGAGCAAGCTCATGACTGCCAGGGGCTTCTAGTCTAATTTTGCTCCTCCCTGCCCACCCAATTCCAGCTTGCATCACAGAGACTCCTATCCTGGGGAGATTTCACTAGGATGGACTTCTCTCCCCTAAAAGTGGTGGGGGTTGAGCCACCATCCTGCTGACGTGAGCAAAATTGTGCTTTTCTTCTCTACTGTTGCTGTCTTTTGTGGGTGAAGAGGAAAAAGAGACAAGTGGGAAAAGAGGACCTTAGCTACTTGTATCACAACTGTCCGTATATAATTTCTACATTTTGCAACACACCTAAGTGAGCAGTATCCGAAGGCCACAAAGCAAATGGGAGACAGCAATACCAGATTGCATTGGAAGTTGACTAAAAGAGATTTAGTCTGCTGCTTAGCATTGCTGGAATTCATTCCTGAAAAACAAATATTTCTTTTTTGAAATACCGAAGCATTCGCAGACACTTTCAGTGGTAATCTTAGAATAAAAAATTGATGATAATTTCCAATGCATCCAAAAGCTTGTCTTTTTAAATGTTATGCTAGAAATTATACAGATGGCATTGCAGAAATAATGCCCCATGACAACCATTTTCATTTGACAATTTGTATCAAATGTAATTATGTGAGAGAGAAATTGCAGTGCACACATTTGTTATAGGCCTCTGGCTCATGATGCACTAGTGACCATTGATGGTGGACAAGCCACTTTGCAACAGTGAAACTTTCTTCCACAGAAGAAGGGCACATTTCTGTCTCTTATTCTAAAAGTAATGGTTAGTGAGCTGTGACAAGGAGCTGTGCTGTGACAATGCCTGGATTCTCTGTAGAAGATTTATGGACCCAGACCCAAAAGTCCATGGAAATTCTGTCAATGTAAACCCTGAATTAGTCTTCAATAACTGAAGAAGGAACATGAGCAACTTTAAATTAACATATATTAAAACACCACATTCTCACAGCATCATTTGCTAAAAACAAAATATAACAAAAATGATGAAATAACATAAGACAAAAAAAAAACAACATGTGGGATGCCTAACCACTACAACAGATTAGGCACGGATGTGGTATATGGATGCCCAATCCCCTGAGGAATCCAGAAACTAAGAAGGAATATTTTTCGCATCAGATCATACTTTAGTTCAAGCCAGATGTGGATGCTGGATGCAGAAATTCCTGAATGACATTCTACACCCAATCAGAATACCCTCTTTTGTTGTTAAAAATCCAAATTCTTCTAAGGGGTTGTGTTAATGCAGATTTCAAACACTGAAAAGGTTCATAATTGCAGAGGGGTAACTGTGTTAGTCTGCTTCAGCAAAAAGTAAAAAGCATCTTGTGGTACCTTAAAGATTATTTTTTAAAAAAATACCAGCATAAAATATTGTGAATTAGAAAACACTTTATCAGATGCCACAGGTGAAACCTCACTGTGCTTTCATCCCTCTTTTTCCAATGATCTCCAGTAGGATGAGGCCGTTCCTCCTAAACCTCTCCATTTGTTTTTATTACCAGTATAAGCCTTTGCATTTCTTGAGAGTTGCCCCTTCCTGTACACTTGGATATTTACTCTGGAGCCCTCAGGACTCTTTAGTAGGTGTTGCCTGGCTGCACATATTTGGCTGGAGTTTGACAAAAAAAAGTATGCAAACAGTTATATAACCACAAATACAAGTTCAAAGGGCAATCATCTTCCAATCAGAAAATCTGCAAGCATTTCCTCTCTGTTATTCAGTCATCATATTTATAAAAAATTTTAACCAGAAAGACTAGAAAATTAAGAACTCTCTGTAACCAATTGATAAAGCTTTTTTGGTACCAGCTTTGTCTAACCTTGTTGCTGCTCCTTTCCCTGGCTCTCATTACCCTAATACTGGCTTCTACCATGATCTGCACCTTGCCCCTCGTGGACTACTCTTCTACCTTTATACTCACACAAACCTGTATTTCACACTGTTGTTGCTCCAGGCCTCTAGAGTAATGATCTCCTGATTCTTTAGCTTTTGTTCCTCTACTACCACCTCCTGAGCAGTCCCCCGACCCTTAAGACTTGCTTCTTCTGTTTGGCCTGGAAGCATCCCCAATTCCATTTCCCTCTGCAGCAGATTATGATTCGATTCAAGAGTCATCAGCATGAAAACAACCAGAGAAATCAATGTCCATAGGAAGTGAACAGATCATTGGACTGGTAGAGATATCAAAGGCCAACAGCTAGCAAGTTTACATGTATGCAGCACAGTGAACTCACTATGACCTTTTCCATATGCTGGAGTTACTCCTGATTTTCTTGGGAGTCAATCCACAATGATTGGAATTGGTATGGGCAGGGTTCTTCTGCATGTTTGCCCTCCATGTACATTTTTACAGTTGTGGATTTAATATATTTTCATTCACACATGGATTAAATAATGAGGATTTTAAAGGGAAGGTGCTATCATCACTGGTGTCATTACTGGTGGCGTCACAGCACTCCACTCCCCTTTAAAAAAAAGTGGCCCTAAAATATGGGGAAAAGCACATCTCTGCGAGGGATGAGGGCAAGAGCTGAGAATTCAGAGAACCTGCTTAAACTATCAGTACAGTACAGTCATCAAAAAGTAGGTTGTAGGTGGGTGGGAGTGGGCAGGCATAGAAAATCAATAGGAACATTACACACTAGGGAAAAGCAGACTCAAAATTGGCTTCCAGAAGAACGTTGGGGTAAAAGTGGTCTCAAAAGAGCCACGGGAAAACAGTGAGGGGGAATGAAAACTAAAGGCACAAAAATGTGTGCAGAAATCAAGGGATAATCAAAGCAGTATGGAGCCAGAACCAACTGGGGGGGAATGCAGAAAAGCTCTATATAATATTAAGCAATAATACTGTAGGGGATACCCAGGGTTCAAATGATTTTCTATTGATTATTGTTGATTTTCAGGAAACCTTTGGGGGGAAATCTTTGGGACTCTCTTGGAAGAATTGGACTCTTTAAACCACTAAACAGCATTACAAAAGCAGGTGTTTTAAATCAAATTTAATTGACAAGGGTTTTTTTCCTAACCAGGAGTGTTTGAGTTTTAATGAACAGGTGTTGTTATGTCACCTTTTTAACTGGACTGAGATGAGCTATAAGCGAAGATTTATGAGAACCTCCCTACTTCAGAGAAAGATTTCAGAAGTTAATTTCAGTTTCTGATTTTCAGTAATTTAAAATGAGGAAACATCAAAGCGGCTTCTCTTTCCTTGAGTTTGGAATACTCTAACATATCAATATTGAACCATTGAAATCTATAAGCAATATCTCTATATACTTGCCTTTTGTAGATTATTTTTCTAAATAGAAAAGACTCTGTTGGTTTGTATAGACACTTACATGAACTGGACTGGTGTAAAAGCACTACAGTAATTAATTGTCAGTTAAGCGATTGATGTTCCATCCTTTATTCCACAGGAACTAGAGACTAATTGGTCAAGATGTTTTTATACACTTAAAACTGGCCTGGCAAGGATTCACAAGCTAAGTTAAAGGATGTCAAAATTAATAGGGTTAAATAAAGTTCAGTTGTACTTTCCATGCAAAATAAATTTAAGTTTTTAAGGGTGCTTTTAATTGTTAAAAGGTAAACATCTCTGAATGTTTATAGCTGAGAATGAAAGCTTATGGATAAAATGTTTTTGTATGTTTAATGAAAAAGAACAAACTAGTTAAGGTTTTAATTTTCTAATAAAAAACTGTGTTTAAAGCTAACAAGCTATGACAAGAGCAAGAGTTGGAAAATGACCAAGGGCTGACCAGGTGTGTAGAGAGCCCAGTCAAACTGGAAGATATTAATCATGGGTCTGCCAGTTAAAGAAGCTAATTAAAAGGGTCAATTAAAAATGTAGAACTTGCATTATAAAAGGGTGACTCCTGCTGGTTAAAGTAAAATAACGTATCTTGACAAAATAAGGAAGTTTAAATGTTTAAATTTTTGTACAAATATTCTGATGGACCAAAATAAAGACTGATAGATAGATTCAGAGCATGTACAAGAGCTTTATGCCATAGGCTACTTTGAAACACTAAAATAATTCATGTAAAGGGTTTAATTCTTTAGAATGTCATTGTGATTATATATGTTTACATATTTTGTATATTTTAGTGAAAATAAATTTATAAAATGCTTTAAGAATATTGTTATATTTTTTATATGCATGTATTAAT